GTCCGCCCTGGCGGGTAGGCTCCTGGGGGGGCGGCGTGCCGTGCCTCCGCAGGCCCCCCGTGCCGGGGCACCCCTCAGGCTGTGAGAGCTGAGCCCTGGCGTGCTCCGAAGCCTTGTTTCGCTCCGGGTGTTAAGTATGCCCGGGCTCCCGTTAGCGTCGTGTGAAGAGTGTCTTCGGCTGCTTTGCCCATTTGATCCTTTTTGGTTTTTTCCAGTGGTCTTCAGTAAATGTTTCCCACTCGTGGTTCTTCTCTCAGATTTTGGCTTATCCTGATGGCTGAAACCTGTATCAAATATAATCTGCTTTCTCTTAAGGTGTACGCCAAGAAGTACAACTTCCAAGCCTAGCAGCAGCAGACTGCTGAACTTGGGCCTACTTATCTGGTGATCTGCCTGGAGCAGATGAAAGAAGGGTGTGGGAATCTTCCTACACGAAGCTTTTCCATTGTTGAACAAGATAGAGTGGCTTGCTTAAACGGCTTATTCGGCTTCATCAGTATCCTGTTCTGCGGATGCATGTGACAAACATTCAAAGAGACGAGGTGGAATTTGGAAGCCCTTGTAGGGAGGCTGGAATGGGAACCCGGGGTGCCTTTTGGTTTTGCAGGGAGCGTGGCTGACTTGAGTCCAGTGCATCTAGAATGAGAAGGCTAATGTCCTGCAACCTCAGACCTTCAACTTTTGGTTTTTTTGAGGCTGTCTCCTTAATCTTACCGAGTGTTTTTATGAATGTATTTATTTGTCAGTTGAATGAGTTACTGGATAGGAGAAGGACTCTCATGCTCTTGCAGTTATACATAATCCTTGTTACACTGACTAGCTGTCAAAATGTAACCAAGCTCTTGTGTAGCTGAGGACGTTAGCGCTCAGTGGGCTTCATGATAATTGTGTGAAACGAGTCTGCTCTCCTAAAAGATATCTCTTCCTCTGCCTAGTTACGTTAGGTGAAAGCTGCTGGACTAACCTGAAAGTGCCAGAAGCCTTTTCTTTCACAAACAGTAGTGGCTGCCACTACCTCTGGGCTTGGATTTCTAAAAATGGAACTCTGAAATTGTTGAACGACCTCAGTCTGTGGCAGTTAAGCTGATACTGGTTGGTGTCATCTTGCAACTTTGGGCACTGAGATTACTCTGCAGGGTTTTTGTCTTCTGGAGTCCTGGATGGTGATGGCACTTGACAAAGCACCGCTTTGCCGTTCCGTCTGTATTGTGCCAGCAGCACATCCCCTTCGGGGAGTTACCTGTGAAACCGTGCTGCAGACGTGTGGAGTAGTACAGAATGGTGGTAGGAGTTGCGTGTCAGTTTAGTCCATCTCAAATGGTAAAAGTACTCCGAAGTAAAGCTGACATCTGTATCCAGCTTGCTCTGCTAGGGGTTGAATCTTGCAAGGTTCCAACTGCACATTAGGATCACACCCAGAAATTTATCTGAGTAAGCATCATTCAAACAGCCTTGCAAAACTGAGGGAAATAGGGAAGTTGTTATGCATAATGATACAGCCTAGTTAGCTGGTTTAGGCTGGGAAGTAGTAATTCCCATTTCTGAAGTTTTTAATTAGGGAATCTAGTGACTCTCTACAGAAAAAGTGAGGGGACTTGCTCAGGTTTTTATTATTGGTTTTTAAAAAAATAATAGCATGAGCTTCAGCTATCAGCTTCTTACAGGAGTAGTGCTGTCCATGGCATGAAGAGCTAACTTCTCGTTAGTTGCTTCATTGACTGACTTTAATTCAGAGTATGCATCTGGAAATGAGTGCCAGAAAAGAATAACTGCTCTCTGCAGGCCAGTTAATGGTTTGGATGGATGTAGCTGTCAAGCATTGGAATTCCGTAAAACTAAAATGAAAGGAATGACACAGCAAGATGCTAGTTCTATAGAATAGCTCTAAAAGCTGGATTACGTGCCTGGAACTTGGTATGGCTTATAAGGTTGCATTCTGGCTAACAAAGGGCTGTTACCAGTCTCTTGACAACAGTGAGTTTAACCTAATGTAAATCCCTAATGTAATCTCTGCCAATCAAATCAGGCACATGTAACTGGAGGGAAAACTCAAAGCAATTACACAGGAGGCTTCTTACAGAGCCTGACTGCCACTGAAGTGGAAAGGCCGTGCTAGGCAGACATTCCAGTTCTAGAATAATCTTTTTCTAGGTTGGTACCTGGTTTGGACTGTATTTATTCCTCTGGTGTAAACAAGCACTTAGTTTGTAATCAGACCAAACTTAGTTTGACTAGAAGGTTTAAAAACCAACCTTAGCAGTGAAATCTAGTTGTAGCTGGATACAACTAATGCAGCTTCTGCTTTGCTAAGGCTCTGTATTAGTCACTGCCTCTAATTAGATATTAAGCCTAAGTTTTCCGTGTGCGTGAGTAAACTTGCTCACAAGGGAGGATATCATTTCTTCCTGGTCCTAATTTCCATAATGTAGATGGCCTATGGCTCTCGTTCAGAGAAACTGCATGTCATCCCGATACCGCATCTTGAATTGTCAGCTTCTTATCTGAGGGCTTGAAATGCCCATTATTTACTGGAGTCTGCAGTATCTTCTGTCGTTTGCATCTCTGCAGCTAGTGTCTGTGAACAGGCTTTCATCACACGTGCTGTCAAAGCTGCTCATCCCAGCCGTGCTGGTGTGGGGAGGTTCGAGAGGCACCCGAGCTCCACGGCCATGTGGTGCAACTGAAACACATGACTCAAGTAAACTGACTCCGCTTCCAGGCTGCAGGTGGTGCATGCTGGTGAATAATGGGACACTTGTTCAGTTTCAGAAAGGTACTTCATGAAGAGTGGTATTTCCTACCGTGAAGTGTTGCTTGAAGCCTGGTAGGTTGATCGTTGGTCCAGACGTTTGACACCGGAACACTGAAGTTCGATAGCCTGATTGTTGGCGGGCAGGAGAGGAGAACTGCAGGAGCGGAGGGAGTCAGGCTTTCCTGATACGGTTGTCAGGTTTAAGAGCTGAACTCAAACTGTTCTGTTTGTGGTGGTAGGGTAAATAAGATCCCTTTTTAGGATTTGTGTCAAAGTCTGAATTGGTGTCCTCTGGTTTTGAACTTTGGACTATCTGTGGCAAGCCTTTGAATGAGGCCTTGGTTTCTAGAGAGGGGCACTTTCTGAAGTTTCCTTTGGCCAGTTGGGAGCTGTGACTTCCTTCTGTCCTCATGACTGTTATTAATAACTTTGACTTAAAGAAGCCACACCAGAGAAGTGTGGAAAAAAGATCGCTCTAAAGAGCTCGGCTGCTGCTTTAGTGCCTTCTGAAACACCCAGGTAGGTCATAAATAGCGTGTGTTGTCACTTCACACGCATGGTAGTTAAGCAAGAAGGCCGATACATTTTTAAGTGAAGTGTTTCTTAATCGCAGAAGTCTCTTGAAATTGATTGCCTCACTTCATTAGGTAATAAAGCTAATATGAGGTGACTCACACTCCAGTTAATACTCTTTCTTTGAGGTCCTGCTTGCTGTACCCCAGGTGGTCTGAAACAGGTGACTGCAATTGGAATCTGCTTTTTCCATCCTCGTCTTAAGTTCCTGTATAGCGCTCTTTAAGCAATGGAAGAGCTTTAAGCGGTAACACCCGGAGAAAGATGCTGTCATGACTATCAGAGGCATGAAATGTCCGCAGCTCTTAGATGACTGACTTCTAGAAAAAAATATGCCTTTTTAGGTCTTGTTTCACTGCTGTGTGGTACTTTCATGATAAGCAGCCCATGTCCTTTTGAATATTCCATTGAAGTCAGGGTTGGGGAAATAAAACCGCGTTTTCTTGTCAGATTAAGCTATGTTTTGCTTTCTGCAGCAGTCATTCATAGAAGTGCTGTTGTAAAGCCTTTCAAGGGACTGTTAGGTCACAAGGATTGAAGCTTCTAAACTAGAGTTCAAGCTTCTGAATGTGGTTGCCACAAGTAGCTGAAACACTGAAGTATTTCAAGAAGGAAGCTACAGAAACAAGAGTTGATTTGTCCATATATGATGCACTTGTTGGTTGAGGCTATGAATGTTGCAGAGGAGGCTTAGTGTAGGGGTAGCTTTATATAATGCTAAAATTACTCTTGCTTTTTTTTTTTTTTTGAAGAAGAGGAGATTTCTGAGGGATGCAGCTTTTTTCTTAGTGTGAAAAGAAGGAAATACAGTGATGAACAGGAGGGCTTAAGGTAGTATGCTAGTTCAGGTAGGTGGGGAGTGTCCTGGCTGGAATCTATACTCCAATGATGGTATCTCCTAGTTGGCTAAGCTTGCTCGTGATTGCTTCTAGATGGTTGAAAAGTATTATGAGTAAAGATAAAGATCTTTGTTGTGTAGTAACAAAACCTATATGAAGAAATTTGTCCTGTAACAGTAATGAATCATGTTAGCTTTGAGATGCAAGCTGAAGGCTGTCCTGACCTTTTCTGTTGATACAAAGAATCTCTCTGAGGAGGGTGTGGAATCAAAATCTGGTAGCTGTGAATTGGTGGTTGAGGACCATGCGGATGGGACCTTGTAGGCAGCGTGCTTTCCAGTGCCAGCAGGAGAGAGCTACCTAGCTGGAAAGAAAGAACACCGGTTCTACCGCTGCAGCTTGAGTTCTGCCTTTAATGGTTCCTTTAATGTATTGAAATGAATTTTTAAGGAAGGTACAGGAAGCAGGAATTCCAGTCTTACGCTCAATTACTTGATGGAGCTGCTTAGGGCTTGGTGCTGACAGTCTGGTAAGCGTAACTCCCTAGAAGTTGGCAGTCTTCTGGCTGTAGCTTATGGGCAGGGAGAGGCAGATGAAGTAGCCAGAGTGTGGTTTGGTTTGGGTTTTTTTGGTTTTGGTTTTTTTTTTTTCTTTGAGGACAACTGGAAATGCTTGGTTTAGTAAGCAGCTCGTTAACTAAGTATTCCAAAAGACTAAACTTGCATCCTTTGTATGCTTCTGGAATGTTAGGTGATGGTAAGTTAGATCTAGTGTTACAACTAGATACGGGGTGAGCTGAACCCAAACTGGTTTGTGCAAGTAGGTGTTGGCACTGTCCTCATACATTACTGGAATACAGTGCAGGGGCTTAGTCCAGTCTGGAAGCAGTTTTGCTCCTCTGAATAATCCTTATCCAACATAAGCCGGTACTCAGGCAGGTAAATGGGTTCCTGTTGCCCTATGATACAATCTTATCTGTGTCTCTTGCGTGCCAGCTTTTTACAACAACTGTTGGAGTGAGCAAGGATTGTGTAAGGCTGGTCTGTTGTTCGCTGCTTAGCCAGCTAGTAACCCCTTCATCTTCAAGTGCTTCAGGTCTAGTACGGGGGATGAATTAGTGATTTTGAATAGAAGACCCGCTGGACTGAGGAGGCTTTAACTGGGCATTTCCACACTAAGTCCCAACAACGTACAGAAGCTCAAAGTTTCTCTTTTTCTGCACCAGGGCCCGGTGAATAAGGGGATGACTGTAGCCAGTTGTGAGTGTTCACAAGGCGGGTGGTATGCCCATTATCTGTAACATACCTAACATGAAGTCGTGGTACAGTATCCAGATATGTGGAGAATATATACTAGGGGGCATTTCTGTACAACTTGTCTTGGTCACTGCAACAGTGATTAGTACTGTCCTTCGTTAAACAGAGGTTAAATTTGAATGCTAATCTTCGACTAACTTAATAATGAACTCTGTGGAACTTCAGTGGCCATTGTTGTGCCTGACTCTAGGAATCAGATGGCACTAAACTTCTAGTATGTCACGTGCTTAGGTTCTCCAGGAGCTTAGAGTATTAAAAAGGGAGCATCTCTTAAACCAGGAAGCTTAGGGACTAGTCCTGCAGGTATTTTCTGCATGTGGTCTCTGAAATTTGGTCTGGTTAGTCTCCCTCTTTCTTATCTTTCACATAGGAGCAAGAGTTAACTTTGTTTTGTGATCTTCAGTGAACAGTTTGTATTAATACTGTATGGTCTGTATGATTTCAGATCTTATGGCTTAATTCATAATCACTCCTAGTACACAAAGCTGATCTTCCAGGAGACCTGGATGAAGTACAGTGTCTGCTTACTGGAATATTCACAGGTGCTGAAAACAGATGCTATTGCTAGATTCGTAAGCAGCTACTCTTGCTGTCCTTGATGAGTGTTTGAGCATTGCTACGGTGTATGACAACAGCCAAGCACTTTCAGATTGGGAATTGAAAATATTTCTGTGCTTATCAAACTTGTTTGAAAGCTGATGCCTATTTTAGAAGGGGAAAGCATTGTACTGTGAGCACACAGTGATAGGGCTGAGTAATCTGCTGGGGGGGGCAGAGGAAAGTCTGATTCAAAAAGAACTGCCTGCTAATAAAAGCGTATTCTTGTTCTGCTGTGTGAGTAGCTTTTGCATATGAATACTCTAAGATGCAGTTGAATTCCTGGCTTTTTTCCTCTGTGGAGGTAGTAAACAAAAGCCCTCTGAATTTTGGGTTTAGAGAACAGTTTCTGGGCCAAGACAGTTGGATACAATAGCAAAACCTATCAAAGGAGATCACTACCTGCTAACAAAATCCATTACAATAATTTTAATCATTTTTTTGACCTGTCTTAAAAGATAAGGTGACTGCCAGTACCTTTCTTTATAGAATCATAGAATCACTTTGGTTGGAAAAGACCTTTAAGATCATCGAGTCCAACCTTTAACCTAACCCTGCCATCCCACCACTAAACCCTGTCCCTAAGCACCTCATCTACCCTTCTTTTAAATACCTCCAGGGATGGGGACTCGACCATTATGTACACTGACTGTGAACAGAGAAGCACCCACACTTCTATCAGAGCAAGGTCTTTCAAATGAAGATCCAAGTTCTCAAAACCTGCAGGCAGCTGTGCCCCTCAGAGCTATACAGTGCCCACCTCAGAATCCACAGCCTCCAAACTTCCTATAGAGAGGCAGGGCGTGCTTGTGTTTTGGAGGTGGCTTGGTGAAGGCAGCTCCTACCCTTCCCTTCTGTTTCTGACAGTTCAGAAAGTATGTCAGGTAGCACCAGCTTCTCTCGCCTACAGAGCAGAGTACAGAAAGCTGGAACTCGAGTGGTAACTGAGTGTCTCTGCAGTGTAGTTTTTAAGCAAGTCGGAACAAGTTTTTATGCCACCTGGATGTGTAGCATGGGTAGGGAGTACTTGGAAAGTAGTATAAGGTGCAGCACCTTTTCTGAAGGTTCTGTAAAAGCTTTGTGGTGGATCACAGTAATTTCTTCAACGTTACACTAAACACGTGGCAAACGAGGTGCTGCTCCAATCTGAAGGAATCTGTATCCTAAAAGACCGGTGAGGAAACATGAAGTGTTGATAGGAACAGCTCTTGAGTGAAGAATCTGAAAGTATCCGAGTGGGAATAGCTGACAGGTAATACGAAGGAGGTTCAGGGAGTGCTTGGGAGATGTTTGGTAATTTCTTCAACGTTACACTAAACACGTGGCAAACGAGGTGCTGCTCCAATCTGAAGGAATCTGTATCCTAAAAGACCGGTGAGGAAACATGAAGTGTTGATAGGAACAGCTCTTGAGTGAAGAATCTGAAAGTATCCGAGTGGGAATAGCTGACAGGTAATACGAAGGAGGTTCAGGGAGTGCTTGGGAGATGTTTGGTTAGATGTGGGTGTAGGGT